TGGTGTCAGGGGGCCTTCATTTTCCTCAACTATAAAATGGACATAATCCCAGTGTCCAAAAGTGGTAAGGATTAGATAACTGGATAAGCCTGCCATTCACTCGGTACCTATTTGGTGTATGATGGAACTCCAAAGTTAGCAGTTATTAGTATTAAAAGTGTTTTGCACATAGTAGGTACTCAAAATCTACTAGCTTTTATTGTATCTTTCTTGTGTAGAGGACCCTGCAAATGTTATGCGGGGTCCTAATCTACACTTTAGAATGATGTGGTACATCTCAGCCTGATCATACGGAAGCTCTACAGGATCCTTTGAGACGCTGCTTATAGATCTAGCCCATCATTGCTGGCCTCTTGTCTACTAGTGGACATTTCCCCTCATATTTTCATTTGAGAATATTCTCCTCTGGGCTGTCCCTGCATTAAAGGGTCATCACACTGGCAGAGGAAACTGACCATGATTAAAAGAAGCACACAATAGCTATTTCAGTAATGAGCAACGATGTCAGAGAGAGATGACCCTATCTCTTTTTTTCACAAACTATTCATATAATGTGTGCCTTCACTGCCCTCCCTTAAAAAATGTTGCTTGAGGAGGGCGGAGTGATGATGAGCAAAAAGAAGGCCAGAAGGCTTCTAATTACTTTTGAGTTTACAAAACACTGATTTGATTCTTACAACACCATGACAGACCTTGTTATTCCAACTTCATTGACAAACCCAGGCTGAGAAACTGGTTTTCCAAGCATAGATTGCCGGTGAAAGCATACCTTTCACTTGAACCTGATCCTTCAAACCCTCAAATCTGTGCACCAAAAAATAGAGATGAAGTAGAGTTACATAAAAAAAGAAGACCATTCTGGGAGAATGTCTCAGCATAATGGTTTGATGTCTGAAAACTTTAAATCATGAGCACATGCCTTTGTAAAAGAAATACAATGGGAAACTAAAAATGAATATATGGATGAGATGTGGGTAGAAAAAATAATGGTTGTATATCCAAAAATAAAGAACAGTGTTAGGGGAAAAGGTTTAAAGGAATACAGGCATTCCTTTGTGGTCTCAGGCATAACTAGATCCAAAAACACACAGACACAAATGGGAAGGGGAAAAAAAGGTGTGTCTGGGGGGGTGAGGATTATTCCTAAATGGCCCCAGGCCTGGAAAGGGAAGCAGCCTTTGAGGATGTCAGGATGTCAGACAACCCCCAGGAGAGCCCCAGCAGGCACCTTTGGTAGCAGAACTAACCACACCCCTTGGCCTAGTTAACCATTCCTACCTCTGGAGAGCTCCAGAAGGCAAGGGAGAGATCACCCCACAAACAAATGTCTCCAGCAGCTGCCAGATACCTACCATCTCACCAGCCTGGTATTCGATCTTTGATAAGAGGTCATGACCTTTACAAGGACAACGCCTCCAATGTTCTCAACCATCTAGTCCTCTGTGTAGATAACATTTAGATCCTTACTTAAAAGGAGGTCTTTTTGCAGGAAAGAAAAGATGAGAGGCAGGGCACTGGACTTTTGAAGGGAACAAGTAAAGAATGCACTTTCTCAAAGAAACTGGCAATGCTGAAGGTGGATCTGTTTCCTCACAATTTTGCCTAACAGTAGCTGTCATTCTTTGAATATGCATCCTATAGAAAAATTGTTTCTGGGAGTAGATGTCTATATGCACAGACAAGTAATAAATAATAGTAACACTAAAGATTATTGCTAACATTTTTTTAAATCTTATACTATAAGCCAAGCACTGTGCTTTACACTAATTATTGCATTTAATCTTTAGAGCATTCCAACTGGGTTTGTATGTTACTTGCTTCTTTTAATAACTAAAGAAACAGATTTAGTTTATATAGCTAGAAAGGGGTAGAGTAAAAACTCAAACTAGTCAATACAATTCTAAGTCAACCAGTACATTTGTGTCCTAAACTTAAGATGCAATATTTCTTTCTTTCTTTCTTTTTAAAAAAAATATATTTTATTGATTTTTTACAGAGAAGAAAGGAAAGAGATAGAGAGCCAGAAATGTCGATGAGAGAGAAACATCGACCAACCACCTCCTGCACACCCCCCACCAGGGATGTGCCTGCAACCAATGTACATGCCCTTGACCGGAATCGAACCTGGGACCTTTTAGTCCACAGACTCATGCTCTACCACTGGCTAAACCAGTTTTGGCAAGATGCAATATTTCTATCATAACACACGCACATTATATTTTAGGCTCTGCAGCAAAGAAGCCAGAGCCCCCTATCCACTCAGTTTTTAATCTCCTGGTTTAACACATACCAAGTACATGAAATTGGACTCTGAAGGGAAAAAAAATGCAGCATTTCATTGTCAGAAAACATGGAAAACAAAGAGGGAAAAGTGAAAACAAAAGGTTATAAACATTAAGCATAGAGAGCTCTTGTCAAAATTAAAAATGGAAAATAAGAACTTTCTGTATCTCTACAAAACAATGAAAAGGTAACCTTTAAAGCTTGAAGGAATAGCTTTAAGTTTAATAAAAATTTATAACTTTGATGAGGCTTTTTGCTAAATTCTGAGAACGATCATATAAAATCCCTGGGCAAAAGCAAAGAAGTGCGCAGTATCAAGTTATTATGGTAATTTACAACTCACCTGTCTACTGCCGATTCATCAGTCTCACAGCCTTGTATATGTCTACTCTGTGCTTTTTCAGAATAAAATAAAAGTGTCTGGGGTTTAAGATAGCACTGGGGGAAAGAGGTAAAATAGTGGCTGGCACATAGTAGAAGCTCAATAAGTGTTCTCTGAATAAGTCATTAAAGGTCAAACAAAGCACACTTGTCTCAAACACCAGATCTTCTCAAAGGTAAGAAACTTAAAATTTTAAAAATAATAAAACTATCATGATACACAATGGAACAGAATGTAAAGTATGAGTGAACATCTAATCTAAAACCCAAAGCTTCAAATTAAAAATGGACTTGCTTTGGTGCCTGTTTAAGGCAACACCAACAGCCCCAAACCCTTAGGGAGTCCTGTTCTCTCCTCTCCACCATTTTATTACTTAGCTGAAACATTTGGACAAGTATATGCATATGAATATATGTCCGTATGTATTTCTCCTAAATTATGGACCTCTGACTTTCCTATTTTAAAATGAACCTCTTTTAAGGGAACTGTTCTTTTATGTCATGTTAGAGAGGAATGGTGCACCCTTCCTTTTAGCTTACTAACAGATAGCATAGTGGGTCCCTTAGAACCAGAGCTGCTGAAGGGTAACCGATTCCTTCCTTTGCTCTTCTTCATGAAGATTATGCTGTGATTCACATCTCAGACAATTATTTGAGCCAAAACCAAAAGAAAGACATTTTATTCTCCAGCATTTTTTCATTTAACAAATAGAAAAAGAATCACAACAATATCATTATCCTTGTTTCCTGTCCTTTTTCCCCTTGCCCCAAATCATGACTCTCCTGAGAAAGGGATTTTGAAAACCAGACAGCACCAACTAGAGAAATGTTAGGCCTGATGCTATTAGACAATCAGGCCATTCAATGCACTAAAGTGTGGTGGGGGTCAGCCATGTTAGGTGTCAGAGAGAATCTGGGCATGTCCATGGCTGTGTGAGCTGGTCAAACAGAGAAGTCCTTGGCAACTCTGAAATATTTTGAAACTATTGATCCAGAATCTATCTTTAGAAAATAAATGAGTATCACAGATTCCTCATGGACCCCAAGGGACATTTATAAATAAAAAAACTCTTTCTGAACTTGAGGCCAAAGTGGCTACAGAATTGATCTACCTAATAACATAGAAGGAACCTTACACTGTTGAAAAGATTCCAGGTCCAGCCATGGTATAGGTATCCATAGGGCTTTTAATAATTTCTATGCTGTTGTGTTGTGTGTATTTTTTGCTAAAACTTCAAAAACAGTTATTTTAGCTTTCCCTGGCACTCTCTGTTAACTTTAGATCTAATCTGTTAAGATATATGCATAGACTAGTCACAGAACATAAAACAGAACAAACTAGGGTACACTCCAGAGAAGGAAGATGAACATGAAGGCTCTAAACACTGTGAGAAAGAGACTTGGTGAAATTTAGTTCAATAATGGCGTGTGGAAACTAGCTGAGGAATATTTAGAGATATCTATCGATATAAAGTGACCTATGATGTTATCACTCTAATTTGACACATCACAACAATTTAGTTTTTCCACCTTAAATGTATATTACATTTATCCCTCCTAAGTGACTCTTGTATAGTCTTCTTAAGGTTCCTAAAATATATATCCAATATGAATGCAAACTGATATTATTCATCCCAGTTTCACCACTTGCAAGGAAATGCCCCCAAGGAGACAATTCCTCAGTCTGCTGCTGACAGAGAAAGGCTGAAACCTAAGCTCTCATTGCAAGGACATGAGAAAAAGGCATCTGACAGGACAGGGGTGACAGGTCAAAAGGTCAAGGACCAGTATAGTGATATGCTTTAGGATATTTGCTTGATTAAATGAGCTTCATACACTAATTAAGGAGGTTTATACTTACCACTTATGAGAGAGTAATCAAATTAACAGTGTACAGTGAAATCAATTCTCAATGTCTTGTTTTAATAGAAGTAAACGGTAGCATTTAACTGGGTTGTTTGAGGAACTCTAATAATACCTATATTTTATGATCATTTTCACCTTGCATGTTTAGTTTCTTCTCACTCAGAAGTTATTATTAAAAACTAGTTGGATTTCTTCTACCACATTGTACTTAGGCAGTGGCAGAAACTGGCCCAACAACATGCTGGGTAGAAGGAGACATGCATTTGGGTGGACAAAAGCCACCATAGTTAATCCTCGAAAGTGAAATTTCAGCATCCTATCATCAGGAGTTGCTGGGCATTTGATTAAATACCCCAGGCATTTGGCCCTCGACCTATTTTCATTTCTCCCCCACAACTGGCAAACAAGAGAAATTAGACCAAGAACCTGAAAGAAACAAAGTGTGCACTTTAATATAGAAATACTTTTACCTGCCATGCCTGCTGTGATCCAAATGGGCTGGGGTTTCACAACCTTAGTCAACTTAACTCCCAGCTGGTGGCTCTGGACAAGGTAGCCATGCAGTCTTATTGCTCAGTGTCTGTTCTTTTACTGTCAGCTGGAATACAATAGAGAGTCAAAGGGAAACAAAAGAGAGATGGACCCAGAAAGGACTTGGAGGATGATGACAAAGCAAACTAAGAAAGTGGTAATGAATCCAAGACATCCTGCTGGGCCAATGTGGCATCCTAGACAGCTTTCACATGGAGGATAATTATGCTTCAATTAATCGTCACATTTCCCTGCAGATTTATGATATTTTACAAACTATAAATTATCTAGAAGAAATCGTCTTGGCAACATTTTAGGCAATGTCATGTGATGTGCTTAACCCAAAGAGAGAATAACTACTATCATGCTACTCAGATATGGATATTAAAGCATATTTCACAATATTGTGGGAGACTTTGATATAAAGATAAAAGCGGTGTTGAAAACACTAATATTTGGGGAATACAAAGAGAACACCTGACCACTTTGATGGATAGGTACCAAATAACAAGTGCTAGATATTTAATATCCTTATATTGTGTCTACAGACACATGGGGCTTTCCATATGTCCAGTTCCTCTGTTATCTCTTCATTGTCTTTTGAACGTTATTTCTTCTCATGCAGATGTTATATTTTACAACAGTAAATAAAAGGCTGGCCCTTACTTCCAGATCTATATTTCCCATTTTAACTGGAAAGCACTTGAAAGTATGTCATTGTTTTTGGTTTGTTCACAGTTAAGAATTCACACATCAACAGTTAAACATTATCAAAAGTTAGAGAATAGTATGCCTGTCCCTTCCATAACAATTATAATGTACATAGTTTATTTTTATTTAAATATGTGTGTGCTTAATGAGTCATAATTTTCTAAGCTGGAAAGGATGAAACATAATAAGAATAATGTAATGAATACATAATGAAAATCCATTAAATAAGTTTGGCTTTAAATGTCTTAAATTGGTCACAGTTTAGACAATGTATACGAAGCTTTATTTTATAGGCTCATGTGTCAAATTGATAAATGAAAACTTTCTTGGGGCTGAGATAATGACATAAAATCAAATGTAATCTCATTTAGTGGGACAGAACAAAATCTCACCTCATCAGATGGTACATTCAGAATGTTTCATTTTTCTTTGTTGTTTTATTACTAATGCAGTAGCAGCATTCAAATAGTCTTTCTTATTGGACATTGTGTTCTAGATAATCAGCATTAGGGTATTAACTAGATAATCCAAAGTTAGAGAGTATAATTGTAAACAATTGTTATTGTTGTTGGTTCAGCCAGTCTGAAAATTTAGGATAGGAAAAAAAAAAAGAGTAAGAATTTTCCACTGTGTAGCAATAAAAAAATAATATTAAGGTAATTTTATGTATTACCATGAACTTGTTAGCATATTTTAATTTATCAGAATCAATTTTTGATCCCACAAAATATCAAAACTCAAATTATATCTACCCCCAGACATAGGAAACTGGTAACTTGGTGATTTTCTACCTTGAGACCTGAATTATCTCTCAATCACATAACTCTGCTCGAATTCATTATAAAAATGACCAATTTTCCACCTCACTTAACATGAGAGAGACAATACTACAGAATCTGGGTCTCTGGGTAGAACAACCAAATGCTACCTGGGGACAGATGAAAGTGCTAGAGAGTGTGTGAGTGACTTAAATTGTTCCAATTATTCTTTTCCTTATAAAACGATTTCTACAATCCCCATTATGAGTTCCAAACACATACACTTTGAAGTGAGAGCCATTAGCATACGTCATTTCCTACTTCCAGAAGCCAATGCACAATAAATCTCTTACCTTGTAGAGATGGAGCAGCAGAGGGCCCATAATAGAATGAGTGATGCATAAAATGTTCTGCAGCTCACTTCCCCTGGGATTTATCCTTCCAGACCTAGGAACACCGCCTGCCTGCGTGGATGGAATGCTAAGCAATGCGGCAAAACAACCAGTGCATTAGGTATAGCTTTTCAACTTTGCAAAATTTAGAAGAAACTGTAAAATAAGTCACAAATAAGCAAGTATGTGTCTAAACATTCAGGCACAAATTAGCTGGTAAAACGCACTGTTTAAATAAGGGAGATGAGAGGTGACCTCATATTTTTAAGTATGAATGTATAAATAATATGCTTTTTCTTAGAAGCTGAAGATCTATTGCATTCTTGGTTGTTGTTTTAAGAGAGAGACTGTTTTATAGTGTGTAACACAATTACTCCACAAAGAAATCACTGGCTCTGAATTACAGTTAAATTGTTGGTCAAATAGTTCATTTCCGCCCCCCCACCCCCTTCAGAAGCACTCAAAGGAATAAAGAAAAGAAGCAACATATGAGAAACATTTATATTCTCAAGTGTTCATTCAGTTTCTTCATTTATTTTTTGGAAAAAAAATTGTCACTAATTTTTTGAAGGCATAGTTTCAAACTAGACTTGTCTCTAAGTCTAAGTGTAGCCTCCATTCCTTGTGTCATATTTCTTCAGGCATGAGAAGGAAAATCAATGCTCCCACTCACCTTGGGAAGAATTTCACTGCCATGTGTCCATGGTTCTATGGGACCCAATAATCCATGGCTCAGCATTGATTTTTCTATGACACCTGTAGAAACAGCCTCTCCTTCCTTTCTAACAAAATATAGCAACAACAATTGTGTAGTTTCTGAGTGAATTAAACAGAGGCTTTTAAGTAAAACTTCATCCTGTAAGGAAATATGATTTACATTTTCTGATAGAAAGGTACCTTTGCTTGCTTTTTCTGAGCCACTTAACAACCTTTTAAAGATAATGTGAACATATATTTATAAAGATAACTTGAATGATGTTTTCTTTGGTACTTCGTAGCTAACACCTTTATTAACAATAGTATTTATGTTTCTACGTAAATTCACAAGTTGTAAATAAAGCCTATCAAACTTCAATTTCCAATTTTTAAAATATCTCAAAACAAACCTCTTTTTGACTAGAGAAAAAAAATACAATCGTGTCTTTGAAGTCTAAAATTTTGATGAAATAGAGGGCCAGCCAGGCAGGAAAGTAGAATAAAGCAAATCCTAGGAGAGAGGTTAGGTTAGCTTTTCGGGGGTATTTTATAGCATTAAATGAGTTGGGAGAACAGGCAAAAGCCACCAACCTTTCCACTTTCCTTGACATATATAAATGCAAAAGAAAACTTTAAAAAACCACCCAAAAGTCATGTTTCCAGCATTCTTCACACACCTGATGTAAACCTCAAAGATATTTGTTTCACCCTGGGCAGACTTCTCTGGGCATGTCTGCATTTGTTCCCTGCAGCCATTCTGCACTGAGTGGAGAAACTACAGTTGTCAACCTACTCCATCATCACTCCATCAGCCTGAGAATCTGCAAAATAAAAATGCAGTGTTAAAAAAAAAACAACAACACACATCCATTCACGTTCACTTTTCCTAGTAAAATCCAAGAGAAGAAAACACAAAGCAGATTGCTTCCCACAATATCTGTGACATCTTGGTTAAAAGTGACAAGGCCATGTGGCACTCTGACAGGTGTAGTGTTAAGACCTGACAGATGTAAGCCTGCAAGAACAACCTCCCTGTCACAGATATTTAAGCTTACGGTAAAACTTTGATTCGATAGACCCTTGATTAGCTTGTGCAACTGTGAGTGCTACTGCCTTTCAAGTTCATTATAAATGATGCCGTTCTTCATATTACTGCCACTTTAAGCTCCCGTTCTGATAAAAGGAAGGCATTTAAACTGCTCATCAAACTGTGTACATTTCTGAGTTAAAGACTTAGATCAATCCAAACTTCAGCTCTCAGGGGAGAAGTTCCATTGTTTATCAGGCCATGTCTACACTGGCTGAGCAAAGCGCTCTGTTCAGATGGAGAAGCGCCTTTGGCAGCTAGAGTCCACATAGCTGACCCATGGATGCTTGGTGTTACATCTCCCCCTAATCACACAAGTGCAATGAAATTACTAAGCATGTGATGACAATGACCCATGATGACAAAGAAAAAGCATGGCATGATTGCGGTTCTAATTTATTTGCATGGTAGTCATTTGGAATGTAATTCAAAGGACCTATAAATATAAGAAGAATGCTTCCACTTCACAGGCAAGGGTGAATATGGGCATTAAAATAGTCAATCACTCAAAATTTGGCTTAACCCATGTCACATTTCTTCTCAGCAGAACAGTGGTGGCACCATTTTAAAATGTAATACTTTTTCCTAACTGGTCTAAGGTAAGCTTATGGCTCTAATTTTATATTTATGGGAGAAAACCCCCCAAAGTTTCCATAATTGAGAAGAGGATTTATTAATAGATCTCACAAAAAATGAGTCAAAATGATCATCAATATTTTGAAGGAAATATTTATATTCTTCCCACTTGCACCATCAAGACTGAGTAACAACTGCGGGTGCAATGCCCTCAAATCATCTTGAATGTGAGATCCTTTCAGAAGTCTAGAAGAAAAAGAGGTTTAGCAGAAATGTTCTACTAGCAGCTATGAAATTATAGGCTTCTCACTTCTTCCACCCAAACACACTCAACCCTGTGAAATAATGGGTTCAACACTAATCGCCTCTGGAATTTTGCCAGGCTTCTTCACCTATGAGCTGGCAGAGTTGGATCTAATTGTCTCACCTCCCAAGGATGCCCTTAGAGGGTGTCAGAAAGAATCCAGTCCAATGACTTGCAGGAAACACAGGGGAAGACTTAAATGGGTGGGAATCTATCAGAACTGTGCTTCACGAGCTATGATTTACCAATATCACCCCACCATAAAGTTGCTATGCCAAGCTCCAAATTCCAGTCTCCCTGATCACTTGGAACTTGCAGGCAGAATTATCTCTCCCCCCCCCCCCCTGCCCCTTTTGTTTTTTGTTTTCCACTCCTATTTTCAGGATAGTGGTCAGGCTGTTTCTATTTTACAATTGTTCAATTAAGTTTTGCTAAATCCTCTTTTTCTGCTGGGAGCAACATTCCTCCTTTAGACTGAGTCATATTAGTTGGATAACTTATAAATTACCACTTAGACTCAAACCAAAAAAAATTTAGGTGATCTAAGAACTGCTTCACTTAGAAAAGTCTAAAATAAATCGAGTCTATTATTTTCTCTTTCTATATAAAAGCCCTGAGAATATCTAAATATAAAACCTCTGTTGCTATCTTTGCCACATAATATTCGTGGGCCTCATGATGAGGACGATCATGATGGTGAAGATACAGCACTGTGGGGCTCTTACTGCACGCCAAGAGGTGCTCTGAATGCTTTATTGGCATGAATTCATTTAATCTCCATGACCACCCTATAAGGTAGGTCCTATTATTTCTCTTTTACAGAACAGAGCTACAGAGGCAGCAAGGAACTTGCCCCAGATCATATGGCAGGAAGTAGTAGAGCCAGGATTTGGATCCAGGCAGCTTAGCTCCAGAGTCTACTCTATCATGTTGCTTCTTTTCCCCTTGCTTGGTCATGGCAACCGAACCATGCCATCATGGATGGAGATCCATATCAGAAACTGGTTTCTTTACATTGCCTCTTTCTTTCCTATGTGAGTGGAATTAATATGCAAGAGACTACATTTTATTGTCTGAGCTGTTCTGACTCCTAGGCTCATTTTCCTGCTATCTACTTGGCATTTTCTTTCACATGGAGCCATCATCTTTTTTTCTCAGAATAAGTTAGGTGCAGTCAGAAGCAAAATTAATTCTCACTGGTCATCATTTCAAAAGAGTATTTATTCCTCCAAAACTTAAATTCTGGAAGATGATCACTGAATGTGGAAAATATCAAATAAGAAAGAAACAGCAAGAATAAAAGTGATTAAACAGGGCCTCTGAGAAGAGCATGTGCCTAATTGTTGCCTCATAGACTCAGGCCTCCTGAGATCACACCCTGATACCACCTTTTGCAAGTTGGACTAGTTATTTTATCTCTCTATGAACTTACTTTTCTCATCTGTAAAATGGGAATAAGAATAGTTCTACCTCTCAGGGTTTTGAGGATCCATTCAAAATGCTTAACCCACTACATGGTCCATAATGAGTATTCAATAAATGTATACTATTACTATTACTATACATTTAGCTTGTATGAGACTAACCTCTAGCTACAACTGAGCACTAACAATCAAAAGTTTTATTCATTTTGGTGTGAAAGTATTAATATAGATTTTAGGAAAATCAGTTGTGGTCACAGGAAATCCTTTCCACCCAGGGATAATTTAGTTTTAAATATTTACTGTGACATATGTCCACATATAATTTCATTCCCCTTTATTGTGTGATGCACAGGCAAATCACAGAATCCATCAAACTACCTGAAAAGTCATCAGAGTTCATACTGTTGTTGGACATTCACCTCAAGGGCCAGTAGGTGTTTCTATTGTATAAAGGTTAGGTTTTAACTAACATAACAGGATTACTTGCTTAATTTTCTAAATAACAGCATTCAGATGTCTATACAGAGTTACTGAAGTGAAATTGACCTGGGCAGCAATTTTAACAATTTTCAGATTCCACTGTAGTACAATTATCTCCCCATCTGCCCATGTATTCAGCTTGCTTGTTTCTTTCTTTTTTTTTTTCTTCTTTTTTCCCCCCTCCTTTCCATTCTTTATTTTGTAAAGGCTTAGGCTTATGCTTAAGTCCCAACTCTTTGAGGCCACATAGGCTACTCGCCAGAAATGACTGCCCAGAAATTTCCATCATTAAGAGGAAATAATACAAGTACTAGAAGGAAATGATCACTGAATGCCCACTTGCACTGAGCTACTCGGTAAGTATTATATGAAGAAAAAGGGAAAGATTGAAGCCTTTTTTTCCTTTTAGTTCTAAAATGGGCACAATGTCAGTTGAGAGAGCAAGGAGCCTGCAGGCCAGCAGGAGAATCACAGAGAAGCTATTTGAGGTAATGCTCACTCTTTCGCCTGGATATTCCCAGGAATCACTGAACTGTCTTTTTGTGGTCCAGACGCCCTAGGACTTAAGAGCCACTTGCTGGTCTCCAAGCAGCTGGCAGTGAGGAGGAGAACTTTTGTCTCACTTCCCAGTGCCTTCCCAGATGGCATATTCTTTGGCAATCCCCGGTGAAAGGAAATGTTGAGGTATAAAGCAGTAACCTAATCAAAAATTAAAATTTTAAATCAATGGGTCAGAGCAGCCTCATCTGGTATAAAGAGAATATACAGGAAATGAAATGGTGAGACAAAGCATGCAAGGTGTCAATTTGAA